CTACACTTGTGTCTCCTCCCTCAGCTACACAATTTGTCTTTTCTACCTTGGAAAAGTCTAATATTTTCCTCTTCTCAAACCCTTGTCACAGCCTCAGTCTGAACCCTCAGCATTTCTGGACCTCTGCCACCCCCATCTCCAACGCAGGCCCCCTCCAAACTGCCACCAGCTCAGCCGGCCTTCGTAATCAACAGAGGTTGCTTCTCACAGCGTAAGTTGAAACCCCTGAATGATCTTGACTTTTTTTCTCATAAACTACTTCAGCCACATAAATAAAAGGATTGAATAAATGAAGTAATAACTACTACAAACTACTTTATAATAACCCCTTATATCTGTAAGAGTAACTCTTCCGCTTATAAACTGGTAATAGGCACATTTCTTCACTTGCTACATTTGTCATGAGTCTCCTATGTCCCAATAGGTAATGGAAAATCAAGGAATCCTATCAATTGTCCCAAGAAATTTTCAGTCTGGTAAAGAAATAATTACGACATAGTGAGATAAACGTTATTACAGGAAAATAAAAGTACTATTTAAAAGAAAAACAAGACCAGAATAACTAAAGAGAAACCAAGACTACAGAGTAACTAAAAAAATAAGTTACTCCTGAGTAACATGAGTTTGACCTGTGCGGGTCCACTTATACGCAATATTTTTATACAGTATCGTAAATGTATTTTCTCTTCCTTATGATTTTCTTAATAATTTTCTTTTCTCTAGCTTACTTTATTGTAAGAATATAGTATATGATACATATAACATACAAAGTACGTGTTCATCAACTGCTTATGTTATCGTCAAGGCTTTCAGTCAACAGTAGGCTACTGGTTTTGGGGGAGTCAAAAGTTATACATGAATTTTCAACTGCGAAGGAGGTTGGAACCTTTAACCCCCCCAATGTTCAAGGGTCAACTGTATATATAAATTGTACACTACACAGAAACACAAATAATGTTAGCAAATGCAGGAAAATAGACAGCAATTTAACATACTGTAAATATAAAATTCATAAATGAAAGAAATCTAACCTTATGAGTTAAAGAATCAAGTCTGCTGTAACACTCTGACAATTCATCAGCCATTGGCAAGTCAGAACTGACCTCTTTTTTCTCTGATATGCCGTATTTCCCCTAAAGTAGAGAAAGGGTTTATTTATCAGTTGTAAAAATAATCTATGGTTAAGGAAGACTAAAATTTTGACTTCATTTTCTGACTTTGCTTGTTATAGTCTTCAACTGTACTGAACCACTGTAAAATAAAAAATCTCAAATTTATATACTAGTTAAGAACTAAAATCAAATTAGTTTGCTGCTTGATGAGCTTTACATTCAAATTCAAAACAGAAATAACCAGGTGAGGTTAAAATAATCTTAGACTAAGAGAGTCAGGAAAGATATTCTGCATGATTGTTAATCACAGATACATGACTCTCAGAGCTCTGTGTAAACGTTAACAAAAGTAGACTATTTCCATCATAGAACTGATAAGGTCTTACACACAAACGTGCATTTTTCTAATACCTGAGATTTTCTCATTGTCCCTGAAGCAGCATCATAGTTCAGCATGTCTGTGGGGTCGATCCAGTCATCATCATAAGCATAACTGGTTATCAGCCACAGACATTCACAAAGGAGCAGAGAACACAGCATCCTGCATGAAGGCTAAAAACAATTTTTAATAGATATAATATAATTATTTTTAGAAAAAACTAATTTGTAATAAAAACCATCTACTTTCTTCTAGTGCTAAGACAATGCTTTCTTTCTGAATAAAATAAAACTCAGTAAAAAGGTATTCACATATAAATACATACACACATATTCTCATTGAGACAAAACTAGGGATTTTCTATATGATTCGGCAATTCCATTCCTAGGTATGTACCCAGGAGAAATGAAAATATATGTTCACACAAAAACTTGTACACAAATGTTTATAGTTGCATGATTAAAAATAACCACAAAGTAGAAACAACTCAAATGTAAATGGATAAATAAAACATGGCATATCCATATAATGGAATATTATTAGGCAATCAGAATAAATGAAGTACTGATACATGCTACAATATGGATGAAGCTGGAAAACATTATGCTATGTGAAAGAAGTCAGTCTCCATAAACTGTATATTATGATTCCATTTATATGGCCAGAATAGGCAAATCTATAGAGACAGAAAGTAGATTAGTAGGTGCTTAGGGCTAAAGATACATTAAAAGACAGAAAGGTAGTAGTTAAATGGTACAGGGTTTCTTTTTGAGGTTATGAAAAATGATCTAAAATTGATTGTGGTAATGGTTCTATATACCTGTGAATATACTAAAAACTAATCAATTTAAATGGGTGAATTGTATAGCATGTAAATTATTTCTCAGAAATACTTAAAAAAATCTACAGGTATTTTAACCAAATTGTCCCCCACCTCTGATTTAACAAATGGGAAAAATAAAGGTGCAAATTAAGATTCAGACTTCCCATCAAGATGGTGGAGGTGAACACTGTGCTTGCCCGCTCCCATGATCATATCAAATCACAACTAAACTATAGAACCATCATTAAGAACCAACTGAAGTCTAGCTGAACAGAAGTCCAACAACTAAGGACATAGAGAAGAAGCCACATCAAGACTGGCAGGAGGGGTGAAGACATGGAACGGGCTAGTTCTACACTAGCATGGTGATTACTAATTGGGAGCGATATCTCAGCTGTGGAGGTTCCTACTCCACCCCGAGGAGAAAGGAGTCCCATACCAGGCACCCAGTCCAAAGTACCAGTGCCAGAAAGAGGAGTCCTTATAACAACTGGCTGTGAAAATCAGTGGGGATTATGTCCGAGAGAGAGCGCTGTTGGAGTCCCGGGCATCCTCATGAGGGGTCCGCACGTGGACTCACTCGCTCACACCTCACTCTGAGCTCCAATGCAGGGACTTATGGGAGAAACTGAATTGACTGGCTGCAGGGTAGGGGCTGGAGGGGCAGAGGGCAGGGCAGCTCTCTCCAGGGACTAAAGCACTAACAGACACCACTGCTCCTTTGTTGAGTCCTCCCCTCACCCAACCGGCAAACACAAGAGAGCACCAAATATGAACTCTCCATTAACCTGGCTAATGATCCCCAGCCCTGGTAATTTCCTGAGACCCCATCCAACTCATGCGCCCACCCGCACCACTTCTGGCAGCTTTTCCACACAAGCTGCCTATGTCAGTTTGTGCTGTGGACTGTTTCAAAATCTCTCAAAAGTCCACAAACCCCAAACAAGCAGCAGCTGGCTTCGAAGTTCCCTGTACCTCTCACTGAGCGGCCCCAAAGCCGGCACAAGTGGCGGAAGGCTTCAGCTCACATTGTGGTACCCATCAAAGGCTACCAAGCCCAGCACTAGCAGCAAGAAGCCACAGTTCACAGCATAGCCTCTCCCAAGCGCCTCCGAGCCCAGATCACTTTGTAGCTCCTTCTAGGTGGTCTTTAGGCAGGCACAAATGGTGGCTGACCTTGGCTTGCACCAGAGTCCCTCCCAAGAGCCTCCAGAACCAAAACACCAGTGGCCAACTTCAGACCACATCCAAACACCAAGCAACAAGCTCTACAAATGACAAATCCAAAGGGCACACTTGGCTGGCACTAGAGCCCTGCTAAAGCAACTCCCACTCCACGGGGTCAGCATCCACACAACGGCTTGTCCACTGTAGTCACAGTCAGTCGACTTGAGAATCAATCCCACCCACTGACATGGCAATAACAATCAAGGCTCAACTACAACAGCGGGGTATACACAACCCGTGAGGGATGATATATCCAATACACAGAAACAAACACAGGGAGTTGGCCAAAATGAGGAGACAAAGAAACATGTCCCAAATGAAAAACAGGTCAAAACTCCAGAAAAAGGACTAAACAAAACAGAAATAGGCAATCTACCAGATACGGAGCTCAAAACACTGGTTATAAGGATGCTCGATGAATTTAGGGGAAGAGTACATGAATTCAGTGAGAACCTCAGTAAAGGGTTAGAAAACATAAAAAAGAACCAGTCAGAAATGAGAATACGGCCACTGAAATGAAGACTATATCAGAAATAATCAACTGCAGATTAGATGAAGCAGAGGATCAAAATGGCAACATGGAAGACAAGGTAGCGGAAAACACCCAATCAATAGCAAAAAGAAAAAAGAATTTAAAAAATGAGCAGTTTAGGGGACCTGTGTTCATCACCACTAAATCAGTGTTATAAGAAATGCTAAAGGGACTTCTTTAAGTAGAAACGAAAAAATCAAAAATATGGGTAACAAAATACAGGAAAGGAAAAATTCTCACTGACAAAGACAAACACTTCACAAAAGCAGTGGATCAACCAACTACAAAGCTAGTACAAAGGTTAAAAGGCAAAAGCAGGAAGATCATGTGTAATTACAACAATAACTTAAAGGATGCACACAAAAGAAGTAAAAAACCATGAAAAAACGTGGAGGGGGTGAATAAAAATTGTAGTGATTTTAGAATGTGTTCAAACTTAAGCTCCAATCAAAAGACAGGGTGGCTGAATGGATTTTAAAAACAAGACCCGTAAATGTTACCTTCAGCATGAAAGACACACTCAGACTAAAGGTAAAGGGATGGAAAAAGATATTTTATGCAAAACAAAAACACAAAGCTGAGATAGTAATACTTATATCAGACTAAATAGACTTTGAAACAAGAGACAAAGAAGGGCATTTCATAATAAGGGGCTCAGTCCAACAAGAGGCTTTAACTCTCATAAACATCCATGTACCTAATGTAAGAACACCTAAACAAAGCAAATATCGGTGAGCATAAAGGGAGAAAGCGACAGTAATACAGTAATAGTGGGGGCTCTAATACCCCATGACATCTATGGACAGACTGTCCAGTCAGAAATTCAACAAGAAAACAGTGGCCTTAAATGACACATTAGACCAGAAAGACTTAATTGATACTCTTAGAACATTTCAACCAATACCAGCAGAATATACATTCTTTTCAAGAGCACATGGAATATTTTGCAGATAGACCACATGTCAGGCCACAAAAAAAGCTTCAATACACTTAAGAAGATTGAAATCATATCAGCACCTTCTCTGACCACAATAACATGAAATTAGAAATCAATTACAAGAACTGAGCAACACAGAAACACGTGGAGGCTAAATTACACGCTGCTAAACAATAAATGGGTTAATAAAGAGATCAGGGAAGAAATCAAAAGATACCTTGGGACAAATGAAAATGAAAACACAACCACCCAAATCTATAGGACATGACCAAATCAGTTCTAAAAGGGAAATTTACAGCAATACAGGCCTACCTAAAGAAACAAACAACTCATTAAGGGGGTGACTCCATAGTGTAGTGGTTAGCATGTCTGCTTTATATGCAGAACCCAGACTCCACCTGGGTTCCCACCCTAGGTGGAGTCACGGACCATACCCTGGGTGCAGCCAAGAGCGTGTGGGAGGAGACGCCTCACCTTCAGAGATCCAGTTCTTAAAGGGAAACTGCAACATCTATAGGTCAGGGGTGGAAGTGTGGGGGCGTAGGGGATTAAAGGGGTGGGGGGAACCTCATTAACCTAATACCTAAAGGAACTAGAAAAGGAAGAACAAAGTCCAGAGTAGAAGAAAGGAATAAAAGAGCAGAAATAAATGAAATGGAGTCTAAGCAAACAATAGAAAAGAGGAATGAAACCAAGAGCTAGTTCTTTGAAAACAACGAAGCTGAGAGATCTTTAGCAGATTCATCAAAAGAGAGAGGACCCAAATAATAAAATCAAAAATGAAAGAGAAGTGACAACTGACACCACAGAAATACAAAGGATTATAAGAAAACACTATGAACAATTATATGTCAACAAACTGGACAACTTGGAAGAAATGGATAAATTCCTAGAAACATACAAGACTGAATCAGCAAGAAACAGAAAATCAGAACAGACCAATAACTACTAAAGAGAAAGAATCAGTAATCAAAACTCCCAGTGCGCAAAAGTCCTGGACCAGATGGCTTCACAGGTAAATTTTACCAAACATTCAAAGAAGCATTAATACCTACACTTCTCAAACTATTCCAAAAAACTGAAGAGAAGGGAAGACTCTCAAACTCATTTTATGAGGCCAGTAGCACCCCGATACCAGAATCAGACAAAGACACAAGAAATTTAGAGGCCAATATCTGTGAGGAACACAGACAAAAGTTCTCAACTAAATATTAACAAACAGAATTCAGCAATACATTAAAAGGACCATACAACACGGTCAAGTGGGATTTATTCTCGGGATAATCAATGTGATACATTACATAAAAATCATATTATCCTATCCACAGATGCAGAAAGAACATTTGACAAAATCCAGCATCTATTTATGATAAAAACACTCAGCAAAGTGGGAACAGAAGGATAATATCTCAGGATACTAAAGGCCATATATGACACTCACAGCTAACATCATATTCAACAATGAAAAGCTGAAATCTTTTGAAGATAAGGGACAAGACAAGGCTGTCCACTTTCACCTCTTTTATTCAACATAGTACTGGATGTCCTAGCCACAGCAATCATGAAATAAAAGGCGTCCGAACTGGAGAGGAAGAAGTAAAACTGACATTATTTGCAGATGACATGATACTATTATAGAGAGCCTTGAAGAGTTCACCAGAAAACTATCAGAGCTGATGAATTCAGTAATAGCAGGATACAAAATTAATATTCAGAAACTGGTTGCATTTGTATCAATAATGAAATCTTATTGGTTATGTCATAGAAATGAAGAGAGATGAAGAAAACAATCCCATTTATAACTGCATCAAAAATAATTAAATACCTAGGAATAAATTTAACCAAGGAGGTAAATGACCTGTATTCAGAAAACTATAAGACACTGAAGAAAGAAACTGAAAGAGATACAAATAAATGAGAGGCTATACCATGCTCATGGATAGGAAGAATTAACATCGGTAAAATGTCCATACTACCCAAAGCAATCTATAGATTCAATGCAATTCCTATCAAAATACCAATGCCATTTTTCACAGAACTAGAACAAGTAATCCTAAAATTTATAGAGAATCACATATAGACATATGGAAAGATGCTCCACATCACTAATCATCAGAGAAATGCATATCATAATGAGACATCACCTCACACCTGTAAGAATGGCTATCATCAATACGTCCACAAACAACAAGTTCTGGTGAGGGTGTGGAGTAAAGGGAACTCTCATGCACTGTTGGTGGGACTGTAAATTGGTGAAGACGCTATGGAAAACAGTATGGAGATTCCTCAAAAAATAAAAAATAGAACTACCTTAGGACTCACTAATTCTACTTCTGGGTATTTAACTGAAGAAATCCAAAACACCAATTAGAAAAATCATATGCACCTGTCTGTGCACTGAAGCATTATTTACAATAGTCATGATATGGAAGCAACCTAAGTGCCCATGATAGACAAGTGGATAAAGAAGATGTGGTACATATAATGGACTGTTATTCAGCCATAAAAAAGGAAATCGTGCCATTTGTGAAAACGTGGATGGACCTAGAGAGTATTATGCTAAGTGAAATAAGTCAGACAGAGAAAGACAAATATCATACAATTTCACTTATATACTGAATCTAAAAAAGAAAATAAAATAGAAACAAACTCACAGATACAGAGAACAAATTGATGGTTGCTAGATGGGAGTGGGGTTGGGGGAAATGAGTGAAAAAGGGAAGGGATTAAGAAGTACAAATTTCCAGTTATAGAAAGTCACAGGGATGTTAAGTACAGCATAAGGAATATAGTCAATAATGTTGTAATGACAATGTATGGTGTCAGATGGCTACTAGATTTATCAAGGTGATCACTTCAGAAGTTATAGAAATGTCCAATCACTATGTTGTACAACTGAAACTAATATCATATGCAAATTGAAAAATTTAAAACAATTTTAAATTAAGATTCAAATGAGGTGATTAAACTCTCAAACCAGAGAAAATAACCTGCTTCATCTAAGCCTCGGCATAACACTGTCAAATTGTTTCCATACTTAATACCTCCTATTCAACACTGTCTGATACAGTAGCCAGCAGCCCCAGGTGGCTATTTAAATTAAGTGATATAAAACATACTGTTCTTCATTTACACTAGCAGCTTTTCAACTGTTAGTGGCTACCGTATAAGACAGTGCAGATATTGAAGACTTCCATCGCCGCAGCAAGTTCTGTTGGATAGCCTGTCTGATACCTACCACAGATAAGGATCAGGTAAAGGAATTCAAAGACGAGAAAGCCCTAGGCCCTGCCCATAAATGGCTTACAGTCTAGTTGTAAGGATAAAATTAATACCTGGCTACATTAAACACCACTCCTCAGCATTCCCACTCTTTATTCTTCTAGCACGACAGTGAAAATAGCCACTTATTGGTCTGTCTCTTTCATTAACACAGAAGCTCTTAAGCCTGAGTGTGCATTAGAATCACCTGGGGGCTCCTAAAACTCCCAACCTTGTGGCTACATCCCAGACCAATTATGTCAGAATCTTTATGGGTGGGACCCAGGCACCTGGATTTTTAAAGCTCCCCAGGTGGTTCCAACATGCAGCTAAAGTAGCAAATTGCTGCCCTGGAACATGAACTTTTCCAGGAAAAGTGACATCTTATTCCATCTGAATTCACTCTCCCTCTTGCTCCTGCGTGTCTCCAAGCCCAACACCTACCCAGAAAGACATTCAGTAAATGCTGGTTAAGCAAATGATCAACGCCATAGCAGGGATTCAAAGGGCTGGAGAGGGTCTAAGGACAAAGGCACAACTCAATGGGAGAAAGTGGAAAGGTTTCATGGATGAAGGGGCATGGGAAATGGATTCTGAAGTATGGGTAAAATTCTAAGAATGCGAGATAAGGGAGGCAGAGCAGTGTGTATGCTTCAGACACTAACTAGGGGGGTGTGCAGGGGGACGCAGCGATGGAGAGGTAGGCTGGGATGCACTGCCAACGTGAAAAGCTTATGACTACATCTGCTTTCATGTATGATGGCACCTAGATTGAGGGAAGATGAAACTAGCATTGTGTACAGAATGCAGAAAAAAACTTAAGTTTAGAGAGTCCAACAGGAGACTGGAGCAGAAAAAGGATGTTGGCCTGAAAGAGCGGGAGCAATGAAAACAGAAACACATGTGACATGTTTTGAAGATTAATTCTATAGACCTCAGCAACTGAGTGCACAGAGAAGAACAATGGCAAACATGACTCCAAGATTTCAAGGCCAACCAACAAAAATGGTGATATCATTAACTTCAAAAAGAAATGCAGAATGAGAATATGTTTTTGTTTGTTTGTTTGTTTGTTTTGGCGGGGGGAAGTTCAGCACTCATTTATTCAACGTTTACGAAATACCTACTGGACTAGGCACTGTCTTAAGTGACAGGGATACCAGGAAACCAGACCAGCCAGCTCTTCTAAGAACCTCGTAGGTACAAAGGGAGTGTCTGAACTGAGCAGAGGCTCCGAGAAGATGACAGAATATGCAGTCGAGGCTGCAGGAAAGGCTTTTCATAAGCTACAAGGTTTTACACTACTGAGGAGGGGTGAAAAAAATCACTGTTCTAAAGCACAAAGAAGAACAGCTGACAGAGTTCATGTTATTTTGTGACAAGAGAATGGAGAAATAGTCACTAGAAAGCCAGGAGCGTCACTCAGTGGGGGGAGGTTGGAAATTTGGGGGAAAAAACAGCACTTCTGGGCATTACATTAAGGGAGATGACTCAAAAGCCTGTCAAGTAGCTGAGTTTTGACTATGACATTGCCCCGCCCCACCCAAAGTCATGCTATTGGCAACCATGTTACTTTCTCCAAGAATGATCAGCAGGTGAAGAGCTTTATCCTGGGCTAGGGATCAGCAATGTGAAAATGATGGAAGAACAGGTGAGGCAGATTAGTGGAATCAGCAGCAAATTCAGGACCTCCTGCCAAATCCCAATGGTCATTGATTTAAGGCAGGAATTCCTTACGAAATCTTACAATTGATTTCACATTTCTTCCAAACAGAGCTACATCTAAACCTGCTGGGGACTTTGTTAAAAAACAGGTTCTGATTAAGTCTGAAGTGGGTCTGAGAATCTACTTTTCTAACAAGCTCCTAGTGATGGCTGAGATGCTGGCCCACAGAACACTGAGCAGCAAAGTGTTAGGAAAAGCAAACACCCTGTGCTGGTTTAGTTTAGTGGTGGCACTTGTGATTCTACTTGTTAGTAATAGTCTCTCTCCCCATTATCATTTTTTAAAATCTGCATCAGGCTTTAACACTCATATCAATACTAGAATATGTAAGAGCTAGTATTTTATTAATCTGTACCAATCACTGCCAGCTACGGAGTGGAAATCAGCACAAAAGGAAAGTATCTGATTTCAATGAATTTCCACGTTTAATGAGAAAGACAAAGCTAACTTGAAGAGTCAAATTTTGTATTAACCTAGAAGTAGCATGGCATAAAAAAGTCAGGGGGTTGCAGTTTAGTTCCCGTGGGTATGCTTAGTTTCACGGAGATGTGTCTTTCCAGCTTGCATTGCATTTCTAACAAGCTCCCAGGTGCTGATGAGGCTGAAGCGACTCTGGGGACCACGCTTTCATCACCACTGACACAGAGAAACCCTGAACTGCTTTTCACCACCCAAATGTGCATCTCTAATTTTTTACATTCAAATTAGATTTCGGAGTTTTTAAAAATTAACTACAACCAAATCCGAGCTCTTCTGCTAATGGTATTTGTTCAAATGATGCTTAAAGTTTTCAGAGTTAACGGAAACCAACAAAATCCAACGTTTGTTCGGGTCCGCTTGCACTTGCTTTGCTGCTCTTCCCTAGGCCGCTCTTTGAACCGTATAACGCAAAAGCAACCTCCCAGCAACCAGAGATAAGGCGGCCCACTGGCCGGGGAGATAAGTGAGCAGGTCGCTCGCCTATCCCGATAAACGCAGCGCTCCGAAGTCCCCCGCAGGCCCGGGAGAGCGCGGCCCCTGCCCCGGGGAGCACCCCCGGCCTCCCCGCCGCCCGCGGGACCCGCCTGGGCCCGACCCGCACTCCCGCACAGGCACACCGCACTCACGTCCACAGTGGTCCGCCGGCTTCTCCAGGACAGCAACACCTGCCCCGGGCGGCGGGAGAAGGCGGCGGGCCCGGCTGCAGCGCTCAGCGGACTGCGGGCGCCTGGCGCGTCTGCATCGACGTGCTCGGCCCGCAGCTGTGCGTCGCTCCAGGGCGCGCAGCTGATTGGCCCGCCGAGGGGGCGGGGCCAGCCTCTACCTGCTTGTTGTAGGCCGTGGTTTTTTTTATTTCCATCGGCAGAACTCTGCAAATGAAAACTTACACAGAAGCCAAATGTATAAAACAAATACGACGCATATTTTTTAGTCTTGATTTATTTTATAAGGTCGAATGTGTAACAGTTACAGCAAAACCGAAACCTATTTTGAGCATATTTTTAAAGGGGTATACTGAATGAAAATGATAGTGGGGAGGGATTGTTTTTTGTCTTAAACTGCTGGTCTTGCAATCTCAGGAAACTCCAAAGAGAAAATGATGAGTTTTACACACTAGAAGGAAATGAGAGATGTACACAGGTTATTGGCAACAAATTTTAAAGTGACTTAAAATTTGGTGGTATAAATTGTGTGCATGTTGCTTGTTACAGTTTTTAAAAATTAAAATACACCTGACATAAAATTTACAATCTTAATCAGTTTTAAGTGTATAGGTCAGTGTCAGTAAGTACATTCACATTGTTGTGCAACCATCACCACCATCCATCTTCATAACTCTTTTCACCCTGTAAAACTGAAACTGTATCCATTAAACAACTCATCATTTCCTCCCTCCCCGGAGTCCCTGGCAAGCGCCATGCCACTTTGTATCTCTATGAATTTGAAAACTCTAGGACCTTCATATAGGTGGAATCATAGAGTATTTTTGTCTTTTTGTGGCTGGCTTTACTTAGCATATCCTCAAGGATCTTCTGAGTTATAATGTGTCAAAATTTTCTTCCTTTTTAAAGGCTGGATAATATTCCATTGTATCGTATACCAGTTTATTTATTTATCCATTGATGGACGCCTGGGTTGCCTGCACCTTTTAGCTATTTTAATGTTGCTATGAACATGAGTTTACAACATCTCGAGACTCTGCTTCCAATTCTTTTTGGTATATACCAGAAATGGGATTACTGGATCATATGGTAGTCGTTTTTAATTTTTTGCATAACCACCATACTGTTTTCCACAGTGGCTGCACCATTTTACATTCCCACTAATAGTGCACAAGAGTTCCAATTTCTCCACATCCTTGCCCACACTTGTTTATTTTTGATAGTGGCCATCCTAATGGGTGTGAAATGGTATCTCAGTGTGGTTTTTATTTGCATTTCCTTAATGATCAGTGATGTTGAGGATCTTTTCATGTGCTTACTGGCCATTCATCTATCTTCTTTAGAGAAATGTCTATTCAAGTCATCTGCTCATTTTTTAATCAGGTTTTTTTGGAGGGTGTTGTTGAGTTGTATATTTTTATATATTATGAGTATTAATCCTTTATCAGATATATGATTTGCAAATATTTAATACCATTTCATGGGTTGCCCTTTCAGTGTGTGAAATTAAGCATGAAAGTAAACTAAAGAGGAGACTGCAGCCTATTTTTAGCAGAGCCCTCTGCATGTCTGAGAGGTAGGAACACTGTGTACCTACTGAATATCCACAAGCTAATTAGATTTCATTTCTTTCTAAAGCACTCGATTTAACATATTTATAGTCTGATGGAATTTAAATATTTTTCCAGGCTTTTATTAATCAAATTTCACAATATATTCTTTAGATGTTGAATAAAAGAGATAGGAGGCACAGAGAGTTAGGCAGCCGCCAAGGGTTTAAAAAGTAAGTAGAAGAACTTTAGAAAGAAACTTAAGAAACTGATTGTGGGGTTCATCCATGGGATCACACTACTTCCAAGTAAACCAGAAAAAAAATAACACTCACAGCTGAAAGCCACAGACAATAAGGAACAGAAGAAGTTTTATGTGTCAAGAGGTCTTTATTGAAATAATAGCACAGTTACACTTCTAATACCCTTTCCACTTGTATACAACAGTTTAAAATTGCTTGCAACATACAGTGCACAGACAGTTCAATAATTAGAACCAACTCAACTGCAATTTGAAATAAATAAAATAGCCTATTTAATAATTTAAAGTAAAATTACTATACAATATGAAAATAAAGATACATAAATGTTAGTATCTACAATGCCGTAGAAATAAAATCATTATTTTGCATTACACAAAACAGTGCAAGAAAAAAAATCCAAATAAGCTTTTGGAGTGCAAAGTTTAAATTTTCCATTTTTAAATTATCATGCAGACATAGCATTTCAAGCCATGCTATAGTCTATGGCAAAGTTTTCATTTTTTAGAGAAAAAATGCTAGCCAGTAAATTTACTGTACCATCAAGTGTTGTATCACACAATGCTGCTGCTCTGCTTCTACAGTGCAGTTTAGAAGGGAGGTGTCTTGTTGCATTCAAAAAACTGAAATTAACAAGTTTCCGAAGCAAACACATTTACCTTTTAAGTCTGAAACAAAATAATGTGACAAAATAGTAATTATATCCCTGGGTTTAAGAAAAAAAGGAAAGGTCTATACCACATAATGAACTAAGAAGCAGTTTCCCATCCATCTTTAAACACCGTAATGATCCTTAGTGAAAATAACCATGTAACTTTTGAGAGACATAAAATTCTGACCTCTAGCTGACAAGTGATATAATATCATGGGGTTGTGAGAAAAGCAAAAGTAATTTCTGAACACCTATGTTTAATCTGTGTAGAACTTGGTTGCGTTACATGTAATAATATGCTTAAAGTATAGTTAAATTTCAATGTGTATTGTATATAAAACTGTTATTTAGGCAAAGACCAAGGAATGCATTTAATACTAAACCGTAAACACATCATCCACCGTGACTTGGAGTGCACAATGACAACGTAAGAGCTCTTCTGCAGACTTTGGCAACAAGACTACATACAGCAGGTCACAGCAGCATGAGCTCACATGGAAGACTGAAAGCACTGCAGAGCAACACCACCCAACAGCTCCTACCAACGGGGTACACAGTAACAAGGGGCCTCCTCGTGCTAAGCCACTTTCCTGGTCAGTCTATGTTCTTCAAATTTGAAATTTTCATAACTCAGTAGTCTTAAGCCTCCGTGCCTTCACTGCATAGATCGACGTTGGGTGTACTCTATCCACTGTAAGTCCAGAGGGTTACAGTTCTGTCTGCAGAGGATGACAGGAAGGAAAGATCCTGGGTGTGCCATCTGCACTGAATCACTTTATCCTTGTGCTCTCCCACCACCATGATAGGAAGCTGTTTGGTGAGGTCTCCTAAATTAACAAAGAAGAGAGAGATTGATTTATAATACAAAATGAGTATAGGCATAGATTTCACAGACTACCTATTACTTTAAAACATTACAGTGTAAAAAAGCCTAAACTATATTAATACATTAACAAATTTAAACCGGGATAAATGGCTAATTACCTTAGTAGTTTTTGGTAACATACACAAAGTAACATTTGTCACAGCTGCCACAGTAACATTTGAAATTCACGAAACTTGATTTCTCCTTGACTTTAGTGCCACTATATCTTGGTCTCCTTTGCCGGTTTCCCTTCTCTTCCTGACTTAAAGTCTGGTGAATCCCAGGAGTCAGCCTTAGGATTTCTTGTTCCCTTTCTCTCTCACTTCCTAGGAAATTTCATCTAGTATCATGGTACCATGCTATTTAGATATTACAATTCACACACATTTCATCTGCAACCTCAACTTCTCACCTAAGTTCTAGACTAGTATCCAAATAGCTATTTAACTCCTCACTTGATTGCTTCTCAGTCATCTTAAATGTAACTTGTTTAAAACAAAGTCTTGATTTCTTGCCTACACCTGTTCCTCCCCAACCTATCTTCCTCATCTCAATTAATGGCAGCATCCAGTTGCTCGTGCCCAAAACCTAGAAATCAGCATTGATTCCTTTCTTCTCTCACTTCCCAAATTTAATACAAACAAATTAAAATACGTCCCAAATTCAGTTGCTTCTTACCACCTCCTCATCTACCACTAGTCCAAGCCACCATCATCTCTCACCTGACTTTTGCAATAACCTCCTCATTGATATTGATATTTATAATCCATTCTCCCCACAAAACTCAAAATTATCTTTTAAAAATGTAATTCAGATCATAGCACTTCCTGTTTTAAATCTTCCAGGGGACTCCCATTATGTTTTTTTAAAATACTATAAACCCCTGCCTCTGATATATCCTCCTCTCTCTCTCTCCCTTGGTTCCCTTGCCACACTGGCTTCTTGCAGTGTCATGAACATGCCAAATTCATTCCTGCCTCAGGACCCTGCACCTAGGGTCCTAGCTTGGCTCGTTCCTTCTCATCACTCAGGTCTCTGTGCAAATGCTACTTCCCTGGAGAGATCTACCTTATCCTCCCCAATCCACCAAGAGTCTCTCTTCTACTTTGCCAGTTTTTTAGTAGCTCCTAAAATTACATTGTTTATTGATTATTTTTTATTGACTTCTAAAATAGGAGCTCTATCAAAGAGGAAGTTGCCTGTCTTATTTATCTATCTGTCTGTACACAATAACTATTTGCTTAATGAATGCTTAAAAATAAAGCTAGATACTAAAGACATAATTACACAGATTACACACCAAGTTTTTTAAAGTAGAACCAAGTGGGGGTACATAAAAGCATATTTTAACATCCATCATCACTCAAAATGAACTCAAAATGATTGTGTCATAAATGCTGATTCTTTTAAATACTTTTAAAACTATTTAACAATAAGAATACTGTATTTAATTATTTGCTATAATTCATCTCACTACAGTACCAAAAATTTGATCAGTAAATGCTATAAAACTAAAATTTGAAAATGTCAATCTCACTAGGTTAACAAAAAAGAAAGATGCCAAATAGAAAAGGACTAAAAAAAAAAAGGAAAGAAGTCAATCTCCATCACCTTGTAGGTCTGTCACCTTTATTTTCATGTCGTAGGATCCTGTTAACAAGTAGTGAGCTCCAGGAGAGAATCGAACAGAGCGAACATCACTGGAATGAGGGTGATAACTTTGTACCATTCTTCCTCCTCTTATGTCATACAACATGCAGCTAGAATCTTCTT